TTAACTGGAGTTCATCTCAGGAGAAATATGGTCACAGTGTTACTGCCAGGGTCAGGAGGAAGATGGGTGATCTAGCAATGGTGCACTTGTCGGGTTACATGGCCTTGAGAATAGCTCATGCTTCCAGATGCATGGCCCTGGGTGACCAAAGGGCAGAGGGTAAGATCAGCCCCTTAGATAGGAAAGAAGAGATTAATCAGAACTTACTTCCCTCGGCTTGTAACTAAGTCCTTGTATCTATCTAATGATTCAGAGGAAACTAAATGTTTTGAAGAAATTACAATCTATGGGTCCCACAAAAGTTGAGACATTCTGCTAGCTACCATGAAGTCCATTTTTGAATCATCTAAATTATTTTCCAACAAAGAACTTTCTTAGCCTATGAAAAAGGAATAGCAAACAAATAGTTTTTAAATTATTGAAATTGTTGATTGTTTAGATGTTTGTTTCCTCAGGTGGTATTGAATAAAATGGATGCTAGAATTGACATACTTTCTTTTTTGGGGTGGGGGCTAAGGTGAACAATCAAAGTCATTCTGCTTTAGAGGTACTGTATCACTTTCCTGCCACTTTGGAGTTGTTCAGGGCTTAAGATTTCTAGTCAGAACCATTCTGAGATCTTCATTGCTTTGGTGGAGTGGTAGGCATGAGAGAGAAACATTCCTGGGAAGTCCCAGTTCTCAGGGTCAAAGGTATGGCAAAGTCAGAATAAACTTGCTTAAAAAGAACACTGTAAATGGCTGTGGAAGGGCCAATGTGATTTGTGCCTTGTATGTGATTTCCTAAGGAAAATGTGTTAGGATCTAAGCAACCAGTTTAATATGAGGTCATATTTTTAGCTATTGCTAGTGGGAACTATAGTTATTTCGATTATAGCAAAATATCACTTCTTATCTCTCAAACTTGTTTGAACTTGGCAGGATAATGATTACTGCCCAGTACACTAAAGTTTACAGATTTCAACTTTCAGCATTGTACTAGGATCCCCTTCAAATCTCTAGTCTTATCTTCATTCTTATAACCTCATTATGGTATATGAATCATCTTTAACTATTTGAAATTGAGAGAACCACATTAAAATAATTTTAAAATTTTGCTGAAACATATTTTTTGTAACCTATTAAAATAACTAAGGGGAAATGCATTTTCTTTTAGTTCTCTTACCATGTGACTTTTAAAACATGTGCTATTTTTTAAGTGTGTATATTTATAAGGTTGAAAGTGTTTTATATAAAATTTATCCTTCAAACTTGTAGATTTTGTGGTTTAGCAACTTTATAGCCATGAGAGAGATTACAGCAGAAGGACCGCATTTTCCATTGGTTGGTCTGTCTTTCTGTCCTCATTTGAAAGCAAAGACAAGCGAATTTGAGAATTTTATGTACATTTTAGTGGTATTTGTTAAGAAAGAGTATTCATATCCGATGGCTGGAAATAATGGAATAAACCAGAGCTTTGTTTGAAGTGCTTGCTGGATGCTGGAGCTTTCCATTAACCAGGACTTCTTAATGACGTGCTCTTCTGGGCATTAGATAATCAAGGGCATCTCCTGGCTCCCTTCTACTGGGTCCTGATATGCTGCTCCCAAGAATGCCCTGGCTGCCATTTTCACCTGGTGAGGTGCCAGGGGAAGGACCAGCTGCTCACATTTAGATTCTAGCAGCTATGACTCCCGTCTCCAGTTCTGGCTGCTCTCCTGTATCTCCTGTACCCTTAGGGAGGAGGATGTAGAGTATGTGTGCCCTGCTCCAGCCTTCCATCAGACACCACCCTTGGCTCATACCCTTCTTGGTGCCATCTGCTTGGAGACATCGAGGATAATAAAAGAGCTCCTATTTATTGAGTGCCTGCTGTGAACTAAGTATTTACATCTCTAATTTCAAATTTTCACATGATCCTAGAAGGATGTGATCGGACCCGTTTTTATAGATCTGGAAAGGAACACTTGGAAAAAGTTAAAAAAGCTCTCCAAAGTAATCTGATGCCATGATTATATTTGGACCTTTCCTCTCTTCCATCAGTGGGAGATACTTTCGCTTTCCTTGGAGAAATCTGTGAGCTCTGTGTTTGATTGACTCTTCCCTTTCCATAGCAGCCGTCCCTGGAGACCTGATCTTCTCCTCTCATCCCAGGCTGCTGTCCTGAATTTCTCACACTGATTTGGCCCTTAACTTGAGTTTTCTGGCTTCTTGTCTGTTAGACTCAACTGATATCTTAAAATATCTGATTAGTGCTTGATAGCCTTGGCAGGTTGAAATCATATTTTTTAAAGCAAAGGGTATTTTAACACAACTTTCTGAGTTCACTCATTGGGAAAACATATTTTTCCCATGTTAAACGGAAAAAAACTGGACAAAGACATGACCACCTGTTAGCTGCTAATGATGTTCACATGCCTTTTTTAAAAAGTAATTCTGGCTTTATCTGCTTGCAATCTTGGCGACAAAACTCGTGGGAACATCAAGGGCACAGGAAGCCAAAGGCAGCAAACAGACAATGCAGTTTGTGCTTGGACTACTAATAAGGAAGAAGTTACTGTGCATCTGACTCCACATAATTACTTAATCCCCAGACAGTGACTTAAAACTTTACATATGATTTAAGAAACTTAATCTTTGGGTGTTATAATCTAAGGCCTAGTTCAGAAGAGTTTCATACATAGCAGTTCCTACTTTAAAAAAAGTTTTAAAAAATCAAATATAAATATGCTAGTAACTATTTCAAACCCATGGTCTAATTTAATATTGTGGGGATAGGACACTCACTATGGCTTCCAAGTAAAATTAATACAAGCATGCGATTGGATGCAACCTGGCATAAAGAACGACTAACTGTGCCCTGACTTGAAAGAAGTCTTACAACTATAGATAAATAATATAGATAAATAAAAAAGGGCTAGACAGCCCTTTTATTTTAATAGTAAAATCTATCTGAAAATGTTGGGGTCTTAGTTCAAGTTCACTGATGTGTAGAGATTTCTTTTTCACTTTTTAGCAGATGTCCACCCAGGCCCAGGTTTGCAGCAGATAAACTTTTATTTGTTCACTTTGCTACAGCATACCGTTTCAAGAACAGGATGTAAAAACACATTACTTGAGTTTGACATGAGTCTCTTAAATGTCTTACACGATTTAGATGCCTTGGTTTCAACGTTTAAAACATCTAGGGTTAAAAGTGGTCGAAATCTCATTGGATTCATGAGACTACCCAGTCCGTATCAGTACTTGGAAGAGCACCTAGGGAACAGTACCTGCAAAATGCTGTTTTAGCCTAGTGCTGTTTTAACTTAAAAGTCACTGTGCAATTAAAGAGATTTTGACTTGAATGTATTACACCTGCTTCGTGTGTCTTCTTTAGATAAAAATGACTTTGTTCTCTTAGTAAATAATACTCTTTTCCAATGTGGGATAATTAACTACAGAGAAAGACTGAGTCTTCTTTTCATAGAATTTTCTCTAAGAAACATCCTAACACTTTTAGTAGAATTACTGTTCAATGCAGCATCTGTCAGCCTCAGTTTCTCAAACATGCTTTTGCAATTCCCCCCCCCCCCAACTGCTTCAGGGTTTAAAAGTATGGCAAGTTCTCTTCCACAGCTGCAATTAAATTTCAGATTTCAGATCCTCTAATGTCTACACCACAAACTCCTGTGTGTTTACTACAAAATATTTACATAATTAACATAAAGCATATACTGACAACTGAATCCTAACCCTGCAGTGCAATGTTTAATATGTTACCTTATACTTCATCCCAGGTGCAATGAAAGGCAGAAACTCAAGAATTAAAGGAAAATATTGAAATTAAGTTAACTCCAAATAAAATCATTAAAAATGTCCCAGATGAGTCTTCACCAACACCCCATGTGCTTTGTGGCCATAGGCAATTACAACCTTCCTGAGCAGCAAGCAGCAGATGACTTACTGAATCAGCCTCTGGTAGTTGGAGAAACTGTGGTATAGACCTCTTAACAGTTCCCTCTTTTCAAAAGGATCTCAATTCAACGTCTCCTGTAGCCTCTAGAACTGTGGGTCCTAACCATTCACTTTTGAAAGGTATGTTACCATGCACACACAACCACATCCACATCTTTTCTGATGGCCCGTATATGCTATAAACAAATATATTGTTTATATTTAAAAATTTATTGTAAATTTTTATTTATACCACATGTATTTGTGTTTCTTTAACTTACTGACTCATTCTTATGTTTCAAAAGCTAGGATACAACTATATTCCCATTTAGAAAACAAATGGCTAAAAATAGCTAGGTGGAAGGCCCAAGAAAGATGGTATAAATTTTAAGACAGAATTGGCTGATATGAAATATATCTACATGTCCTTTCATAAGTCTGGTGCTCAGTTTTACTGTGTGGACTACACGTGACATGTTTTAATAATCCCCTTTTGTTGAGAAAGAAGCAGGCTGGCTAAAAAATATATGTCTTGAAGGCCATAACACAAGTGTTATAAGTTCTCGTTACTCCTAATCGATTGTTTTGGAAGTAGAACTCATTGTAACTTCAATAACCACCTCACTCAGCTATCGCGCTTCCTGTCGACTCTGGAATGTAATTTCTAAATTTCCCTGGTGTTCTGGAAGTATGGACGGGTGCAAATGCTGTTGGCTTAGTTTGGCCAACTGTGGTGGTCACTCTTGTCTTTTAATGTATGAAAATCAAATGGTTAGCACGCCAGATGCTTGACATTTCCCACTCTCAAAATCAATCACCAATCTGAACTCAGTGGCTATTACTCAGAGGTTTGCTGTAAGCAGGGACCATGACCTTGGAACAATTATTTTCTCAAAAGACATTACCAACAATGATGTGAGCAGAATGCCCAGACTGCCCTCCAGCGCATGAATCCCTAGATAGGAAATGGCTACGAATCTTCCAAAGTAGCCTGGCTTTGGCTTAAATCTCATTGTAATACATTTATATTTCATAAGCTCTGCATTTAGACAGAGGTAAAAGGAGCAAGTCAAAGAAAACACTCACTGAAGGACTTCCTGTGTTCTGGTTTCTGTTCTTTTCTATCGATATGGGAGTGACTCGGCAGTTCAGAACTTGAGGATCTCTGCAAATTGAACAACTCCAGGGACCTGCAACTTGGATTCTTTGGCTAGAAATAATAAGAGAGTACCTTTTACTAAGAAGAAAGAATAAGCCAGTTTTGTGTATCTTGTTGCTAAATTTAACTGAACTTTTGAGTAAGATAATTCTTTTTTTTTTCTTTTAAGTGAAATGGCCTCTATGCTAAGCACAATGTTTATACTGATTCATGCATCCAAATAGTGCTTACTAAGTGCTATGAATTATTCAAAGAACTTCACATATATAAACTCAGTTAATCCTCTCAGGAATTCAGCAGGGCCCACACATAGGCAACATTACTAGTACTGAGAAAACAGACAAGGGAAAGAAATAGAAGAAAAATACATCTTTCCCTAACTATGCATTGAGTAAATAGACCAATGTTTAAATGAAGTTTTTCTGGCCTTATATTCTATATTTAAAGGTAATAATCCAAGTGTTTGTTGTGTATGTACTGAGGGTTCTGTTGGTGGTAGGGAAAGAAAATTTTAACTTGTGCAATTTGACCTTTACAGGATATAATGAATGGTTTTAAATACATTATCTTATTTTGGAGCATATTAAAAGCTCTCAAGAATATTTTTCCATTATATATGTAAATAAGTGAAATAAAATTAAGCCAATAAATAGGTTTTAAATAATTTGAGCCTTTAAAACATATATCCTGACAGTACACTTTATGCTATTTTCCTAAAGTTCTAGGTATCTAATTTTTGCGAGTAGAACATTCTAGCTTAGCTGGAAAAGAATAAAATTAAGTATAAATGATTTTTACTTGTGGTATTATAACAGTAACTATGGTCATAAATACAAAGATATTTAATTTCCAGAATAATATATATTATATACTACAACGAACAGAAAATGTGGTTTTCAAGCACCTGAGTGCTTTCTACAACCTCCAGAAAAAGGGTGTCATGTGCTATTCCAGAATAAGAACACTGCTCTTTTGAAAGAGAGAGATGAAATGACGTCTACCTCACAAATCCTGTCTCATGCTTTCTCTTAAGCTTAAAATAGCTAGTATCTCTCAGCCATAGGATCCATTTACACTTGTGAATGACTGAACAGTAAGATTTTAAATGACTACATTTTAATTAATAAACATAACAGCCCAAACAAGTACATACCAATCTGTCAATTGCATTTTTGATAGCTTGGAACCAATCCAATATGAGGAAGTCAATATCTGACTGTAGAAGGAATTCATTTCCTGATACTGTTGTGATCTGAGAGGGAAAATTGACAGGTAAGAAGACCATGTTAGATGTATTTCTTACATTAATAATATCACTTTCAAGAACAGGCTCATCACATGGACATATTTCCTTGTATTCCAGTAATTGTCTTTCTGGAAACTAAGGGGACTACTGTCATTTTGAACTCCTCTCTATAAACTGATTTTTTCATGCCATATTAAATACATGATTCTTTTAATAATAGAAAGATTAACTCAGAGCAGGGTTAAAGCTGAGTTACTCTAACTTCAGGAGAATGAAATCAGAAAGTTGAAGGATGCAGAAAATGCACACATAAGTTAAAAGTCAACAGAAAATGCACTTGGTTGTGTCGGAATTCACTCTGTGCATGCTGTTGGCTCTTTCCTGTTTGTCTTTCTCAAATCTAATAGTATATCTATATTTGATTTCTTTTTATGGAGGACTCCAAAACAGATTTTTACCAAAGAGACTAATGAATACTTTTGCAAAAGGTCATTCGGATGAATAACATTTAGCTGGTTCTGCCTTCCTAGAGTAAAGCTCTATAGAAAAGTCATAAAGGACCAATTTCCTCACAAAGGGAGTGCATTAGAATAAAGGTCATTTGCATATTAAACCTTCACTAGAAAGTATCAAATCAACATCAGTTTCCAGCCTCCCAATGCTGCTAAGTGGTTGGTAATGCTTAGTATAGCTAACAATTTTCATCACAGTGGATCTTTCCCTTTAGGAAGGAAAGAGGATATGACCACATAGAAAGAAATACAGCAAACAATGCTCTTGATTTCACACATGAAAGGCTCCTTAGGGAAAAATTTGATTAGGGTGAGTGTGGATACGCTTTTTGTATGAGGACATCAATCTGAACTGCGAAGATTTTCCCTTTGTATCATTGACATCCTTTTTTTTTTCAATAAGAGGACAGACATTTCTCAACAGCTGTCACTCAACAATCTAGACTGCAGAACTTTAGAGGACTGATGTTTCAAGAAGCTGAATCAGTATCCAGTCACCCAGGCTTATAGGTGAGTGGTGAAATATGGATCAGGTTAGGAACATCGCAAATCACGCATCAGGCTGGCTTTATCATTCTGTCAGTAATGTGACAGTGCTAACCCCAAATGGCTTATTCTGTAGGTTTGGTAGCTTTTATGGCAGCATTTAACAATAATATCTTGGAATTTTTCTAAAGGTATAAATAGGTTATAATTTCAATTAACATAGGCAAGTATATTAAATTGTTTGAATATTTAATACAGGACATGTTCATGTGTTGGCTATTTTGTCTAAAGATTTTTGACACTCTTGAATCAGTCACAATGACAAATAATGAGCAATACAATAAATATTATTCTTTATCAGTGTAATTTTGACAATTATATTGAATCACTTACCATAATATTGTAACCCAAAGTATATATAAGATGAATATGTGCTAAGATGTTATAAATGTTTAACATAGCGAATGGCCTGTATTCTTTAGATCTACTATCAATCCTATTTGAACTCACATAGACTGACATTTTGTTCCAGAAATTTCTGATGTTGATCTTGGGATTTTTAAAGAAATCTTTGTTTGCATAGATGTATTTACATATATATATTTCTTATTTATTTTCAGAAACCTTTAGAGAGATGCCAAGCATACATTCTTAGGGGACACTAGTTCCAGTGTCCATTTTGGTTCATTCTTCAATAAAGCGAGAATTGGCCACATTTTAAGAAGGGAAAAGCTAGAGAGTAATAGAATTAATTACCCACCCTAAAATATGACAGATTACTGGAGCTAGTGACTCTTTTTCCCTCCTTGTTTTGAACTAAAATAGCATGTAAAGTTTGAGATTGCTAAAAATAGCCACTTGTCTGTGAAAAAAGAAGCCAGGATAATATTTTTCTAATTATGTAAATGCCATTGCAATGCTCCTTACTTATATAAAATCTCAAATATTTACTTTCTAAAGTACTGCCTGAGAAGCTAAAACCTAAAAACATAAGGTCACTTGTAACTAGCACAAGAAATCCAGTAGTATCATCAACTTTTACCTTAATTCTAAATTTAAATGTTTTGATTATGAATATTTTATACATATTACAATTTGTCATTATACACAGAGAGATGACTTTCCAAAGCACAAAGTACAGCGTAGTATAATACTTTATACCAGTATAAATAAAACACTATTAAAATTATGAAGGGAACACCGTTTGAAACGAAAAGACAAAAATGTAATTAGATTTACTGTATTCTAAAGGTTTACAAAAGAGCCAGTTTTTGCCCTAGTAAATTTAAACTGTGGTAAATAGTTTTCTCCACTGACTTGACTGTTTTGATGCTAGATGCACAGTTCAGAATAGGCCTTTTTCTGCTCACAGTATTTTAAAAGTTTCTTTGTCTAAATATATTACTGCATTAATCATCCATAAACAGTGCTTTATAAATTCACTCTGGGAAGCTCGAATAAGAGGACCTGTGAATGCAGCTCTTTTTAGCAGAGGCGTCCTGCTCATACCTTCCTATCTGCCTTCTCAGTAATCTTTGGAGTTCTAGGCAGCCGTGTGGAGAAGACTGCTGCTGCTCTCTACAGTTTAAATGCATCCACTTCTTAATTACAGCCAGTAATTGACTTTGTTCTGCTCCATTCCAGACTCATGCAGAAATGTACTTTTCAAATCCCTGCCCAGTAAAGTGCATTTAATTCAGCCTTTCAAGCTACTTTTTTTTTCTGTATTCATGCCTCTTCAAAATTTCTGATAAGTGGATCGTGAGTCATATTTGCTTACTGAGCAACTGAATTTTCAACACGGATGGTGGTGGTGGTGGTGGAGGACATCAGTAAACATGTTTACTTTAAATCTTTTGATTGAATAACACACAATGCCAGTCTACACTGATGCACACTAAGGGGCAGACAGAGTCTTCTGGTAACCCATGCTATTAGCTTCGTGTGCTGTTTGGTAAATGGAAGCTTAAGGCAATGAAGACAAAACTTAGAGAAAAAAAAAACCACAGTTTCTTTTTTCTTTCTTTTTTTTTTTTTTTTTGGTAAAAGCTGCTGGCCTCCATTCTACTTAGAATCCCACCTTCATCTTACATCTATTGAAACCCTGAATCTCTACCAGGCACTGTGTATATACATGAGTGTGTGTGTGTGTGTGTGTGTGTGTGTACAAAAAGTATTTGTTTGTTAAAACAGTAAATAATGAGGGAGAACACAGCAATAGTGTCTGAAAGATGCCACCACTGCCCCTTGAAAGTCTCAGGCAACTTTACTCGAAGAGTAGGTCCATCTCAATTCCATTTTGCAATGGATTTATGTCAAAAATTATATAAGTAGTCCACTGACTAGTACACAGAGCAAGCACATTCCTGGGGCTTTTCTGAAAGCCATTTGATAATAGTTTCCCATGGGCTTGGCACATTGTCTGTGCTTTTGTGGTCCCTCCAAAGACAGAGGCTGCTTTTGTAAACTTCATGTTTCACATATAGGAGATGCAGTGGAATAATTTTTTTTTAAAAAGAGGATTGACTATTGTTAACTGACAATCCCCTCAAAAGTAATGGTTTGTTTTTAAGGGGTTGTATTTGTACCTTTAGCTGATGTTCATTCTGATGTTTTCAAGTATCACTTTCAGCAATAAGGAAGTATTAGGCTTTAATTTGGATGAAAAGATACTATATATAATGACATTTATAGTAATAAAAATTTCTGTGGTCTTATTTATTAGTATAGAAATGAGTTCTTTTAAAATCACCACTCTTTCTGATTATCAGATACACATTTATTGTGCAGAATCGGAAAGTTAAAAATATCAAAGAATAAAATTGAAATCGCTCAGGGCTACAGAGATTAAACATCATACACATTTGAATTTAGTCATTACCTGTCTTATGTTAATAGTAGCTAAATATATATGATAATTATCAATGGGCTCATTGATGTACCAGAAACCTATATTTAATAATTTATTAATTATAAATATTATTGACAACCAGTTGAACATGCAAACATGCATGGGGCAGTTAGTAAACATCTGGGAGTGTCACTGTGCTCCCCTTGCTGTAAAGTATCACCTTTTCAGTAGAATAAATGCTATTGATAATTCCACATCTATGGCATGTTTACATTTGGTTATAAATCTAATTATAAACAAGGACTAAAGAATTATCCATTAAGTGCAGGGGATAGCCCTTGAAGTTAGCAATATACGACCCTCACCCTTAACTGAAAATGTCTGGCTACACGGATCTAATATATATAAAGATAAGTAACCATAGAAAGTGACTTATTCTAGGTCTCAATATGAATGGCACAGAGCATGCTCATGACAAGGAGGGAGTGACTACTGAGGCTACACTTGTATGTTGGAATTATGTGTTAACTGTTAGCCTTGATAGGTTATTTTAAAAGGTTGATTGTGTCTGAATTTCAGGGTATTAAGGATATCAACACTACACTTGTCATGCAAAGGGAAGCCATTTTTAATGATTTCAAAGAACTTAGTAAACATCTCCAGTGCAGCTTCTCTGCACCATAAAGTAATTTTTGTAAATTAGGAAAATGTTGATGCCATTCTATCAAATTGGCATCACTTCAATTGATAAAATAAAGAGATTACAAAGGCCTTGATTTCTAGCTTAGTAGTTAAAAGCACACAGTTAGATCCAATGGAGAGTTATATGTGTCTACAGAAAAGGCCCATGATTTCACTTCAGTTATAAAAGTCAGAAGAACGATCTTAGACAAACAAGTTCACTTGCTCACTGCTATGCTGAAGAATGAGTGTTAAGAATATTAAAAACATCCATATCCTGATATGTACCTTTTTTCGCTCTTCTTTCTGTAAACAACTATTCCTTTGCTATGAAAAAAATATGTTTAAGGCTAATTTGAGGCATTCAGAAATTTCAAACCATAGAAACAACTAAAAAATCCCTGCAACTGAATGCATGTCATTCACATTGTGCTTAGAATTAGCATTTGACAAAGAACCTAAGAAGTTATTTCATC